GTTCAGCAGCTGGGGTTCATGGGGCTCTGCTATAAAACTGCTATTTGCTCCTCCCCACCTATCTTCTCTCGTAAAAGTGAGGTGTGGGGGGAATGACCATGTCTTTGGAAAGAGGAACGGGGGTGCCCAGCAGCACCGTTCACATCAGCACAGTAACCTTCTTCACATCTTCACGTGCAGGACCGTGCCGCCCACCCCAGCCAGGGCAACAGGAGCAGGCGTTACTTCAGAGCATCTTTATAAGCTGCTCATTGCGTTACTTGGGCTCATGTGTAGCTGAGCGGCGTAGGAGGCAGAGGAAAGCTGCCTTTGGCAGCTTTCTCACTTGTTACTTTTCCTTCATTTTGTGTAGAGCCTTGTCGTGACACCACTTCTTCTGCTTTATTATCACGCAGGTTCGACCTGAAAACGTTGCCGGTGGATTTTGTTGAATGCCTCATGCGGTTCCTGCCCACCGAGAACGAAGTGAAAGTGCTGCGGCTCTACGAGCGAGAAAGGAAACCCATCGAGAACCTGTCTGACGAAGACCGGTTCATGATGCAGTTCAGCAAGATTGAGAGGCTGATGCAGAAGATGACCATCATGGCGTTTATAGGCAACTTTGCAGAAAGCATCCAGATGCTGACCCCGGTGAGTGAGGGGCACCTGGGCGATGCGTTAGCTGTGCGGGGATCGGGGCTTCCCGGGGGTTCAGCCTCCACCTAAGAGCTGCGCTCTGCGGCGTGGGTCAGTTTGTGGGGAGCGTTGCAGGCTGCTGGTGTGGGGCAGTTGGTGACGGTTACGGAGATTTTGTCTAAGACAGAGGGATGATTTGAGTGTCGTGGGGTGATCGGGAGTTTCACAGGGACACAATGAGAAACACACAAATGAAGAAGTGATTTTCTAGCTATATTTTCACATATCAGTGACTCCAGTATCCCAAGCGCTGTTTGTACGGCAGCTTGTAGCCTGGACCGCTCCATGTTGCCCTGTTTCTTTACCCTGTAGAAGTTTAAAACTGGTTTAAATGAAAATCTAGTTGTTTGTACCACCAGGGAAAGTTACTATCAGTGCTGGTCTGTGGGCTCTTTGAAGTGTGTCCCATTCAGCCTGATGCATCTTTCACAGTCGTAAGGGTTGAAATGTAAATACACTTTCACCCAACCACATCTGAGTGTGGTAAATCTGTGGTGCAAATGAATTATTTGAAATCCTGACGTGTCAGGGCAGGATAACATTCATGCTAGGGCCCGTGGTATGGATGAGAAACAATAGTTTTTTTCAGAATGTGAGCGTTTAGATTTTAATTTTACTCTTGGGTTGGACCTGCATTAACCAAAGCTCTTCTGTGTTTACCTGCAGCAACTTCATGCAATAATAGCTGCGTCTGTCTCAATAAAGTCATCCCAAAAGCTTAAGAAAATACTGGAGGTAGGTCTGATCTTTATACATTCAGTAGCTCCATCACTCACCGGTGCATCCCCTTAACGTATAGTGAAACCATACCTGGATGCTGACGTACCAAACTCTCCTTCCAGAGGTTTCTGAAGCGTCGTGCATTTATCCTGAAAATTCAGGCTTTGCTCTCTTTCATCCTGGCAGATAATCTTGGCTCTTGGAAACTACATGAACAGCAGTAAACGAGGAGCTGTGTATGGATTTAAGCTACAGAGCTTAGACCTGGTAAGTAAACCAGAGGTGTCTGGGGGTGACCAGGCGGGAATGCATTTCATGGACACGGCAAGTGGCTGCTGGGGGACTCGGTCGGCGCTTCCCAGCCGGTGGAAGCAGAGAGCAGCAGTGGGGAAGGTGCTCCCTGCCAGGCGCTGTCAGATCGCTTTGCTTATCATTGTTTTGGGGGGCCAGTGAGGAGGAGGCACGTGTCTTCAGAGGCTCTGCAGACCACAGCTTGAAAACCACTTGCTAAACGTTTAAATGAGCTTTTACAGCCATCCCTATCAGATGGAGAAACACCAGGGAAGGGCGAGCACCGGTTGAGTCACTTTGCGTGGAGCCAGCTGCGCCTCCACCCAGCAATCTCTTTGCCTTCTCTCCCCAGCTCCTAGAAACGAAGTCGACGGACCGAAAGCAGACCCTGCTGCACTATATTTCAAATGTGGTCAAGGAGAAGTACCAGCACGTATCCCTCTTTTACAATGAACTGCATTACGTGGAGAAGGCTGCTGCAGGTACCGTCACCCTCCTGTGCCTGGCCAGCGGTGGTGGCATGCATGCCGTGTGGGGGACTTCACAGCACGCCACGCATGGGCTGTGGGGAGTTGTTGAAGCTGGGGTTCAGGTGCTTGCACAGCAGGAGCAATGCAGCATTTTTGGTTTATTTCCTAGTGTCTCTTGAAAATGTCCTCTTGGACGTGAAGGAGCTGCAGAGGGGCCTGGATCTGACGAAGCGCGAGTACACCATGCATGACCACAACACGATGCTGAAGGAGTTCATTCAGAACAACGAAGGGAAGCTAAAGAAACTGCAGGACGATGCCAAAATAGCCCAGGTATTTCTTTAATCTCGGGGTTTGGCGGGAGGGTGCGAGTGACACAGTGAGTAGCAGCACGTCACTGCAAAGGCCATGCTTTATATACAGAGCAGGGATGTTGTGGGTTTGTTCCTGAGTTCAAGACTTGCTGGTCTGAGCCAAGGGTTTCACATGCAGACAAAATCTAGACCCTGTATGCTGAGAACTGCGGATAAGTGAGTTTATCTTGAAATATCTGCAACGCAGTAAATCTGTGCTTTTTGTAGGATGCCTTTGATGACGCTGTGAAGTACTTTGGGGAGAATCCCAAGACGACACCCCCCTCAGTCTTTTTCCCAGTGTTTGTCCGGTTTGTGAAGGCCTACAAGGTAAACACGAGTATCCTCCTCTTCTCTTCTGTCCTTCAGAACCCGATTTGTACCTGCATGGCTTGGGGCTCCCAATAAAACGGCTTGGGGCTCCCTCTAGCTTTGATGCAATGTGAGCCATCCTCGACAGCGCGGCAGCACCAGTAGTTGTTTCAGGATTATTTTCAGGGCTGAGAGACAACACGACTGTCTGAGACGCTGGAGGAATCCTCAGAAATTGAATGTCTGGGCAGCTGCAGCTTACACCTTGAACCCTGAATTCGTGTCTTTTGGGACTGGTGGGAGAGAGTGGGTTGTGCGACCTAGGAAGGTCTCTTCCAGCCCAGTTTTTTCAGACTGTGTTCAGAGGCAGCTAAACTGCTACACCTAACCTTGCTTCCTTGGACAGCCCTGTGGTAGCAAGTGATAGTGTTACTCACTTGTAATATTTAGGTTCCCTATAGCAATTAGAAGCTCTAACCTGTGGTTTTTGTGATAAATAGCAAGCAGAAGAAGAGAATGAGTTGAGAAAAAAACAGGAACAGGCCTTAATGGAAAAACTTATGGAGCAAGAAGCACTGATGGAGCAACAGGACCAAAAGGTATGAAACAGATAAGTCTTACAGGCAGGAGCCATCATGTTCATGTCTTTTTCCTGACAGTTCATAAACCTCAGCTCTGTATAAGAACTTCAGTTGCCCAGCTTATCGTTGCCTAGAAATAGAGTCTCTGAAAATTTCCTCCTTATGTGGAGAGAACTGAAATAAGCTGAAAGAGTTACGGTGTATGGTTCTGCTACTTTTGAAGCCTGCAAAATTAAAAAACGAATAGACAGAAAGTCATCTCATCCACATTGCCATTAGCTAAACTTTGTTCTTCTCTGGCCGTGCATCTGTTAAAACCCTGCCGGTGCTCAGTGTGCAGAGCTTCCCATCGCTTACAGGGACAAGGAACGATCCTCCCCAGATCCTTCCCTGGCAGAGCCTGGCAGCAGGACTGAGTCCCAGGTTACCATTTTATAGGTATTTTCCTGACATGTTTGGGGTTTTTTTTTCCCCTGAGGTGACACTTTAGATTTGGTGGAGGAAGTCTCCCCTGGCTCTAAACCAGCCACTTTGTTGGCTGGTGCTGCTTCCCAGAGCTGTTGTTGGGATCTTTAACCCCAGCCAAGCTTTTTCCCTCGGAAGGAAAGCCCGTTCTCTTTGTTCTCCTAATGCTTTTCAGAGGTAAGAGCTTGGAGCTCCAGTTCCAAGTGATGAGAAGGCTTGGAAGTAAGTTACAAACCTAAGAAAGAAGAGCAGCTCGACAGCCGGGTTAACTTGTGACCCTGCCCGTCCTCTCCATGGGACATGAGCTAACCGCACACGTTTTTCCCCATCTTGCAAAATTGGGCAGAAAACTGGCAGTTACTGTTTGCTGATTGCTACTAGTGGGATCACCTGGTGTTTCACAGTCAGGAGGAGAGAAGCAGCGTAGCTGGAGGTCAGTCCTTACAAATCCTCTCTTCTTTGCTTTCAGTCTCCTTCACATAAAACAAAGAGACAGCAGCAAGAGCTGATCGCAGAGCTCAGACGGCGACAAGTCAAGGATAACAGGCATGTGTACGAAGGGAAGGATGGTGCTATTGAAGATATTATTACAGGTAAACACCTCTTGTTCTGTAATCTCAGAGGCCCTTTCACAAAGGATAAAAATGTATATCTGCCTAGTAGCTATTTTAAGTACTTCGTTTGCTGCTTTAAAAAGTGATACTCGAGCACAGCTTGGGACATTGTTTATATGATGTGAATCAAGTATAGAAGCTTTTGCTAACGGTATATAACGAACAAACCCCAGTAACCTGCCTTTACGTGTCCGCTGCCAAGGCTGCGTGCGCAGACCTCGGGCGCGCGCTGGGTTTCTTAGTTCTTCTGTTCCAGCATGTGGGACGTACTCGTTCTCTGATCTTCAGAGTAGCCGGTTCGGTGCCTGATCTCAGCCGGTGCTCCGGTGGGGATATGCATGCCGTGCAGACCTTCCCCTTTCTTCCCCATAAGTGGAATGTATGACGGGTGTTTAACATTATTAAGAGCCTACATTTTCACTGAAATGTACTAACAGTAATTGAACCACTTTATCGCACAGTTACAGCAAATCATTTAGTCAAACCTGAATGATTTATGATGCTAAACTGCTTCTGATTTTACTGCTTCTCAGATTGGTAGGCAAAGTCTGCTCTGATCCCAACCTAGGGCTGGAAGCAGAGGCACAGAACCCGCTGTCGTAGCCAAACACAGTCAGGATTTTGATGCAAATATTTGCTGATAAAAAGAGCCGCCTTCTAAACTGCATTTTGCTCAGGAGTCAGACCATTTTTAATCTATACAGCTGCTCTGATTGCAGTACTTTGATATTACTGCACGTTCTTCACCTGTGTGTGGAAGGAACGCGATTTTACCACTTCGATAGCTTTACATTTGTTTCCATTGCACAGAAGCTCAAAAAAAGGTCATTGTGGCAAGATTTCCTTGGCTGCTGCTCCTCAATGTTTTTCACATGAGTTTTTCCTGCAGGAGGGCAGGAGAGCTGTTCTACCACTCCCTAAAGAAAGCCAGGGAATTTTTGCCCAACTAGGTGACAGGGTTGAAATGCTTGAAGCTTTCACAACTCTTTTTAACCTTGATTAATAGCTTCCTAAGATAACATTCTTTATTTAAAGGGCAGAGTCACTATGATAGCTAATCTGTTACTGCTTCTGCAAGTCCTTCAGACTCCTGGAAGCTTGTTTAATTGGTACAGTGGTTCTCCTGCTCTGTGGGAGAAACGGATTGTGTGGCAGCAGACCATCCATATGCAAAAGGCAGTCCAGTGGAGGGAGTGCCAGACTCAAATGAAACATTTCCTATGGTCTTGTGCCTAGTATGTCCCGTTACGGGGGTGTCTCTGGGGGCCTCGAGCCATGTAATAATAAAGGTTTGGCACAGAAAGTCAGGTCGGACTGAGGTCACTTGAATACGGCCCATAAGATCTCTGTTGATAGTATGGAAATGATCAAAAGTGTAGTTTTAAATTGGATAGTGTCTCACCAGACGCACAGGACAGCTCTGCTGGTCCGGAGCGTAGCGCTAACACCACACCCTTTTCTGGAGCACGCTTAGCACTAGTCAAACCCGCTGGAAACCATGTAATACAAGAAATAGTTACTCAAAGACTTAGGGCTGCCTTGTTGCCAAAGCCTAGCGAAGGGCAGTGCTATTAGACAGCTGGTTGGAACACGTAAAACCGTCCCCGGGTGTCCGTGACCGAGCACTAACACTGTACTAATGCGATAGATCCGCTTCTCACGGCTGTTTGTCTGTTTGGCTGTTATTCCCATGCAGTGCTGAAGACTGTGCCCTTTACTGCTCGAACCGCCAAGCGGGGCTCTCGGTTTTTCTGCGAACCTGTTCTCACTGAGGAATTCCATTACTAAACTATTCCTCTTTCACATCTGATGCTCTTAGAAAAAAGAAAGGTTGCTGTAGATTTTTGACACTTCTCCATTTGTACGGATCTCAGCCAGGATCATGTGAATGTTGAGTGTATAGTAATGTCCAGCGTCCACCTGAAGTTGTATTTGTGTCACCTCTGTTGCATGTTCTTGTGTTTCAGTAACTTTTTATTCCATCCCATCGACTTTTGTGCTTGATGCTTTTGGCCATCCTTGCGTTTCAAAGGCATCTCTCACCCTCACGACAAACGCCATAGAACAGCAAGTGGTGGAAGTCACGGCAGATTTGGTGCAGGTTTCCTACAGCTCACAAGACTGAGGAGACCAAATGCAGTCAAAAAGTGACAGTTCACTTGGCTTTTCTATGTCACCTCTTTTGGCCTACAGATGTTTCTCTGTGTGCCAGTCTACCTATGTAAAATGCATGTAATACATCAGCTGTATGCCAAAGCAGAGGTACCGTCTGCATGAACTAAGCGGGACGTTCTTGGGGTTCACTTTCTGGCTTGGAAGGGTTGTCTGTCGTAACGTACATCCTCTGCGAGGAGTGTTTTGTTTTAGACTTTTTAACCAGTACCTGCATGTTTGTCTGCATGTGAGATACGGGATAAAATGAACAGCATAGAACATTTTCTCATTCAGTCACATCCGTATTTAACTTCTTTCAGTTCCATGCCAACTTTATCTAAATAGAATCAGAGAAGTCTACTGAGCACTAACCAGTTCCAATTCTCTTGGACTTTGTGCAGTGCTGGGGTTGGGCTCGGCAGCGGTGCATGAACCAGGGCGAGAGGGAAGGAGCAGAGCTGGGGAAACACTCGGCTACGTGCCAGAACCACAGAAATTGTGACGATGAAAAGCTTGACATGGAACTGAGCAATTTACATCGTGTGGTGTAAAGTGTAAGAAGGGTGTGTTTAACCCAGCATGTCTGTTAACACTGTTGTCTTGAATTAAGGACTCAGCGGCTTAAGAAGACAACAGTGTTTCACTTTTGCGATTTGTATTTTTATGAATGCTTCTAATAAAATTGCAAACTATAATCAGCTCAACAGTTATTTGCTCTTTTGAGTTAATTGCTGTGTTACCTTCCTGGAGCCAATCTTCAAAGCAGCTTGGAATTTGGTTAGCGAGAGGCGAGGGTGGCCCTCCTGTCCTGTCCTCTCCGTGTCTAACCTCCTCTCGTAGCCTTGGCCTTACCCCCTCTTGCTCTGTTGGCTAACGTGCCTGGGAGTTTTGAACGCCGAGTTGACTTGCTCTTCATTTTCCATCCCATTTTTTACTTAACCATCATTTTGTCTTTTGTTTTGTTTTGTTTTTTTCTGTTTAGCCCTAAAGAAGAATAATATCACTAAATTTCCAAATGTTCACTCGAGGGTAAGGATTTCTTCTAGCACACCGGTGGTGGAGGATACACAGAGCTGGCAAGCATCACTTTTTACTTAGCTTCCTCCTCTCTCTGTATGCCAGACAGCCTGTTGGTAGATGTGGCTAAGCGTAATACTGGTGAGAGCCTAACGGCCTGTGGAGACCGAGACTGTTTATCGTCACCCTCTGTGGTGGCGGGGATCCATAGGCCATGGGCTGGTGACCGTCCTTCATACTCTCTCCGTTTTGGCCCTTTCTCCTCCAAGTTTAGCCCGAGATAGGCAGCCTTGTCCCCAGGTTGTTTCAACCCTGTAGTTCCCTGGATATTCTGCTGCCTCCGTCTCGGTCCTGCTACGGCCACCGAAGGGGACGCGAGAGATGGACAACGAGCAGCTCGAAGGGCGGAGATGGGAGAGGGCAGCCTCAAGCAAAGGCACCTTCTGCTGGTACACCGAGAGCCGAGAAGTTTGGGAGTTGCATTTAAACCAAGACATGTCATCTGGGAAATCTGAGGGAGGGTTTGCCCAGTCCAATGCAAATTTGTGTTCCAGGAGAGAAATATTTTAACTTGAAATAGTCTTCAGGTGTGCCAAGTGTGCTCATTATATCATAGCTGCACATGTAACACATGTAACAGCACATGTAACACAGGCCTTCATCACCACGTCTGCCTCCAGCTTTCTTCACTGTTTGACCCATTGCGTGCTCAGTATTCCCTCCTCTTCCCCCCGGAGCTCTCACCGACCCAGCAGCAGCAGGTTTGGGCTTTGCTGCCGGCGAGGAGGAGGAGGGAGGGGGTTGAACTCTCCACTGCCTTCGGCTAACGAAGCGTTTCCACTGCCTTCAGCTAACGAAGCATCTCCGCAGCCGGGCGAGATGGTGGCAGTGGGGCCGGACGGCAGCTGGAGCTTTGCAAGCCAGTTGCAGCGCTACCAGCTGCTTTTTCTCAGGGCACCCTCTGTTAAATGAAGGGATACGTATAGGGAGCATAGACCCCGCCTTCTGTTGCTGAACACTTCCACTGTTGTACCCTGCGTCACACATCTCCAGTGAGCTTCATCCCGCTTTCGAAAACTCCTTCAGCTCACGGTGGCGTGTGAGAGGCTGCGTAAAGGACCAAGGGATACGTCAAGCAGGCTGATTTCAGTCGATGTTGCCTTCCCTGCTGACGTTAATGAATACTGGCAGCCCGTGGGTGGGGAGATGTTCACGCTAACTTGACGGCATAACTCCATGTAGTTTCACCAGCATTTCAGCGCATTTCACCAGTATTACCTGCTGCTTGGGTGCGTAGTAAACGGGCACGCCAATATTTGCTCACTTCTGCTCTCGTTGGGTTGAAGTCCCTTCTCCTCTTCCTACACAAGCTGCTTTGATTGGCTTCCAGCAGGACTTTTCCTTGTCTAAACTGCGTGTGTGTGTGTGTGTGCGTGCGTGTGTGTGCACGCGGGCGAGCCGTGCGTGTTTACGAACGCCGCTTTCCTCTCCGCAGATCTTAGAAACCAGCCGTACCGACGGGCCGACGCGGTGAGGAGAAGCGTCAGGCGGCGCTTTGATGATCAGAACTTGCGCTCTGCAAACGGTGCTGAAATAACCATGTGAGCTGGAGACCTGCAGGTGTCAAGGAAAGGGGGTGCTTGAACGATACCTTGTCTGTGTGAACTCTGTGTTCTGCCACTCATTTACAGCCTTGGGAACAGTAAAATTTACCTATTAAAGGGCTCAGAGACCTAGAAAATGCATAGGAACGTCAGCGATGGGCTCTCCAACTCAACCGTAGCTAATAAGTGCCTAAAATTGAAGTACCTGCTCAAATTAATCAAAGCAATAGGACTTGATTTGATTGGGTATCTTTTTACGCCAATACATTATTCAGTATTTTTAACCAAAATGTAAAATACGTGTTGCTTTTGGGTGTTTAGTTTGGTTTGATTATATAGAAGTTTAGTGACTGGTCTCTTGTGGACCTAACCTGCATCCCAACTGGTTGTAAACAGGTAATACTCGGACGTGCTCTGCTTTTAAATGCATTCCTGTGCTGTCTGCTGGGGGATGAACCTTGGCTTCAGCTGCACTTACTGGCTTTTTTTTGTTTTTTATTTTAAAAAGACATTTAAGGGCTTTTCTATAAGTAAGTAATACGGAAATAATTCCAAGAAGAGACCTGTACCTTTTCCCACCAGACACGCAGACGCTGCACCCCCGTAGCTAGGAAGCGGTACCATGTACGTCGGCGAGCACAAGGTGTACGGCACCGACCACGAGTCTTCACCTTGAGGTTGTGATGTGTGTGGTGTGCGGTGCCGGGCCGAGGCACGGGGGTGCTGGGGGGACAAAAGGAGGAGGGTGGCGAAGGCACGTTCTATGTTCTTCAGCTAGAGGCAGCTTGAATAACAATGTATTTATTAATTAGCACTAAGGTATTAACGGCTCCATAAGCAGTATTGGGACTGTCGCAGTTCAGTTGCTCGCGCAGAGAATCATCCTGTGCCCTGCCCTGTAGGATGAACGCCCCGCTCCAGCCCCAGCCTCCTTGGACAATCCAAAGTCCCTGCGAAGGATCACTTGGCCAGCGCAGGGAAGCCCAGCCTGAACGTCCCCAGCGGCTGTAGGTTACACATTGCTTTTTTCAAGCTTAAAATGGGACACGAGACTTCAGCGACGTCGTGCACCCCCCGCGGCCGGTCTGCACCCGTCTCCCAGAGCAGCAAGGCGAAGCCGAACTCGTGCCGGCAGGGCACGCGGTCTTCTCAGAAGTGAAAAACTGGACTGAAGAGAAATTTGTACTTCCCAAGATACTTTTTGCTTACAGCTTACCTTTCCTGGTCTCGTTGCATCAATATGTTAATTGTAAAATTTATTGTATAGTATTTAACCACTGAATTTCTTTTCTTTTATGTTGTGCTTATGTGAACCACTGGTGAAGGTCCCTTTTTTTTTCCTTGGATAATGTGTAGTTATATGATAATCTGTTTTTAAATGTACAGATATTTTGCTACAAAATTGGTGCAGTTTTTTATGGTTTTTACACTTCTCTTTTATTCCCACTTTAGCCTCTGGGTAATATTGTAAATATTGTTTAAAAAAATGCATCAGCCTGTGCTATACAATCTGAATGTTATTTTAACTTATAGTTTTTGTTTTTGTATTTAACTAAATGGACAGTTTGGGGCTCAAAGTTACCACATTGACCTCTGCTTACCTATTTACAGGAAGTTTACTTTAAAACTGCCACCTTCTTGCATTTACAGCAGCGTGGACTTGACATGCTAAAGAGAACATGCCAAATCGCCTCTTTCTTCACTGACAGTGACAGAAGAGTATTTTAATCTGCGTAAGAAAATGTGACAATTAATTAATTTAATAAATCGTTAGGCAAATCGTTAAAAGCACTAGCTCTTACATTCTTAAGCTCAAAGGTATTTTTTTAATTGAAGACAAAAATTATCATGCAAGTAGAGTATAATGCTGGCATGTTCTCTTTAATATTTTTCTAGTAATAGACCTGCTTCTTAGCAATATTAGAAGTGTTTTATAAAAGCAGTTCATGTTACTTCCCTGGTCTGTTCCTGGCATAAGATCAAATAAACTATTTACACTACTACATGGGAAGCCACAGGGGGGGTTTTTTGGTCACTTTTACTTTTTTCCCCCCAAACGGTGGCACTTGGCAGGTGAGCACCTGGAGCTTTCAGCAGGGGCAGAGAGAAAGCCTCGGTGAGGGTTTGATTGTGGTGTTTGGGTTTTTTTTTAAACCACTCACTGGTGGTTTCTGTACCCCCGGTCACTCAGTGACAGTAAATTGAGCCTGTTGCTTTTTTTCTTTTCTTCTCTTGAGGGAAGGGAACCTCCACCCCCCTGCAGCCATCACCCCTGGGCCCAGGCTGCCGCCGTCGCAGGAGGTCGCGCTGTTCACTGACTTCTGCTACGGGCCGTTAACACGCAATAAGGCTCCAGGCGGTTCAGAACAGCGGCTTATACTCTTGGCGACGGCGCAGCCAGCTGAGCAATGGGACGCGCTCCGGATCACTTTTCCACGGACCTGGCCCAGGAACGCAAACCTGCTGCTCCAAGGGCCCCGGGCAGAAAACAAGCAGCCAGGAGTGGTTTTGCCATAAACACAGGAAAAGACAGTACAAATACTTTAAGTCCTAAACTTAAAGAGAACAACCTCATACTTTAGCCAAAATTCAGATTTAATTTTTACAAGGGTTTAACAAAATACATACAGTGGAGTGCAGGGTGAGAGCAGGCACCCTGGGCTGGCAGCAGGGAGGTGGGACGGGAGCTAGAGCAGCAGAAAGGGGACGGTGAGCTGCGAAGGCTGTGCAGAACACAGCACGTCAAATACAGTCAAGTTTCACCAATGCCATTAACACTTAAAAGTAACCGATCTCGCTAAAAACCCTTCAGCTTCAAGGCAGAAATGCAGCGTTTGAGCTCCGAGCTTCGTTGCTCTGGCCAGGCGCGATGAGGGTCACCGAGGCTGCCGCTGTGCGAGCGCGGGGCAGGCCTGCGCCAGCAACACGGTGGGACCACAGCAGCAACAAGCTGCCGTAACAAGAGGAGGCTGCGAAACAGGAAAGAAAAGGAAAACCACCAACAACAAAAAAAAAAACTGCAAAAAAGCCTGAACTCATTTCTCTTAAAAACTAAATTATGCCTTGCCAGGATTGTTTTGAAAAGAGTCTCATTTTTAAGATGCACTTCTTTTGCAAGACCTCATGAAGGCATACAAAAACACCCCATTAGAATAATTTACACCTACAGGTTTTTTTATTTTTAATGGAAAAATAAAGGGAAACCTTTTAAAAGTAGTATTTATGTAGATACACTTTTTCCTATGCAAGTTATGCAAATGCAAGGCAGTAAGAAAGTGTGGTACAGCAGTTCTAGCGTGTTTGCAAACCATTAGGACCTGTCAAAGCATCGGTTAGGTCAGCACGCTCTACCTGCCCCCAACGGCTCTACACCAGCGTAAAACCCATGCGAGACAGGACGAACGCATGGCCTCACACTCTCCAAACCACTAGTGGGGCTGTTTCCCACTTGGGCGTTTGCTGCCCGTGACACTACCTACACACTTCCATGTTAAAAACAGAAATACAGGAAAGTGAAGTTACAAAGTCGGCAAAATACAGTACTTAAGAGTCTTGGCTGATGACACTGTCCATCTGCCCACGCTTGCGAGAGCCACAGGGTTCAGGGGAGAAACCTGGAACAAAGACGCAGCCAACATTTCACCAGCTTCCCAGCTTTTTACATTAAAAGAATACGAAGAATTACCACAGTCCTGTTTGGCCAAACTCGGGTATTTTTCCCCCTAAGTGATGGGCGATGAGTAGGTGATGAGCCGCTGCTCTGCACTCTGCTGGCAAACGCCGCTCCCGAAACGCACTCCGAGCTGAACATCCCGCGAGTACCACATCATCTCAGTGAAACAAGGCTACCGGCTGCTGCCGAGTACAGCAGCACTTCGTATTCCAAATGACTAATTTCAATCTCAAACACTCTTCTTGCATCTGAATGACGTAACCGCCCGAGCACACGACCACAGGCTGTGAATGGGGGGACTTAAGCACGAGTAACAGCTGTCCTCTATTAGGAAAAAAATGCACTGAAAAGGAAGCTGAACTCTAAATAGTCTTCAGCTAGTTTTTGTAAGTACCTATATTCCTTAAATCCAATGATCAGAAGGTAATTTACCAAAGCTGGTAAAGAATATTTAAAACTAGAAATAAATACTAGTACACACCAGAAGACAAGGTTTAATAATTGATAAAAATGTACAAAAATATTCCAATCGGCAAGGTTTCGGAACGTGTACCACAGCAGCCACTGCCTGTCACCGAGCAGGGCTGGCAAAACCTTCCTACAGCAAACTGGTCAGAGGCCATCAGAGAGGAGACGGGGCTCGAGCTTCCTCCTCCTCCTTTACTAAGGGTTTAGCGAACAGCGATGTTCTAGACAGGGCCCCGCGGCTGCTAGTGAACCGCGGTGGTACATTCTTCAGCAAGTTCTTAAGGCAACACATGGAAATTCATTTACAATTGATTTTTATTTTTAAGTTTTCTTAATGGGAAGATAAGCGCTGAAATAACACCTGTAGCTGTTCTGGATGGGGTTTTAGGGGAACACGGCTGTGACACGCAGCACACTCTACTGGCACTGCAACGAAGGGCCGGCTGCATTCCCATCAACCGCAGTTCCAGGGCTTTGAAAATTTACCGTAAAAATTCACTCTGAGATGGTACTTAGACACAAAACTCAGCCAGGAAGTCAAGTCTCCCGTTTCATACAAAAGCTGAACATTGGTTTGGCCAGTGACATTGCTCACGAAAGAGCAATTCCAATATCTTGATTTTTTTTTTTTGCAGTACAGATCAAGAAATGGATTCATTACTCCCCTTCCATTGCCTTCCCCTTTCCAAAGTAAAAACAAATCCATAGAACAAATTAAACCACAAGAAACTATATTAAGAATCTCTTTCTAAAAAATGAAATTTTATCTGCTTACAACAGCCAGGAAAACCAGTGTTCCTACCTTTCTAGGAAGGATGATGCCTTGCTAGAAAGGTGCCAACACTCCCCTGGGCATGCGG